GATTGTCTGTGGGAGCAGTGTCAAGAGGTTACACTTCTAATGCAAAAATGATACAATCAAGGACACCAAAGGGCTCTTTTGCCATCATTCAGGATTTTTTTACCTGAGGAATTTAGATTTAAAACTGCAGATTTAAAACCTCAGAAGCTAGAAGAAGACATGCTTAAAATTGCACTTGTAAATGTATAACTATTCCATTAGAAAAAAAAAAAAAAAAAAAAAAAAAAAGAAAAAAAAAAGTAATTGTTTACTGGAACATGCATTAGTTCTACTGTGGTTTTGAGCTTGGGCCTATTATCAAACTTCTGAGTTAAAGCATAAACAAACAAACACACACACACAAGGAAACCTGTAATTTAATGATATATTCCACAAATTTTGAATACTGTATTGAGAAAGAAAAAGAATACCCCACCATAACCAGCTCTCCAGCTTTCAGGATTGTCTAAAACATGTCTAATTATTCCTCTGTGTAAAACAGCAGGCATTTCTTTTACCATCGTTGTACTACTTCCTTGCCTCTTAATCATATTTAATTATAAAAATGGTAAGCCACAGTGCATGTGTGTTACTTTGTCATAGAAAGAGATCAGGTTAGTCAAGCAGGACTTGACTAAACCCATGCTGACTGGGCCTGACTGCCTGGTTGCTCTGCAAGTGCTGCATGATGACACTCAAGACAATCTGCTCCATGAGCTTCCCTGGCACTGAGGCCTCTTAGTTTGATCTCCTGATCTCCTTCTATGACAAAGTGACATGCTGGGTAGACGAGGGAAAGGCTGTGGATGTGGTCTACCTTGACTTCAGTAAGGCTTTTGACACTGTTTCCTACAGGATTCTCATTGAGAAACTGCTGCTCTTGGCTTGGACTGGCATACGCTTCATTGGGTTAGAAACGGGCTGGGTAGCCATGCCCAAAGAGTCATGGTGAATGGAATTAAATCCAGTTGGAGGCCAGTCACTAGTGGAGTCCCTCATGGCTCAGTACTGGGGCCAGTTCTCTTTAATATCTTTATCGATGATCTGGATGAGGGGATCGAGTGCACTTTCAGTAAATTTGCAGACGACACCAAGTTAGGTGCGAGGGTAGGAAGGCACTGCATTAGGATCTGGAGAGGCTGGACCAGTGGGCTGAAGTCAACCGTATGAGGTTCAACAAGGCCAAGTTCTGGGTCCTGCACCTGGAGCACAACCCCAAGCAGCGCTACAGGCTGGGAGATGAGCAGTTGGAAAGCTGCCTGGCGGAGAAGGACCTGGGAGTATTGGTGGATAGTCGGCTGAATATGAGCCAGCAGTGTGCTCAGGTGGCCAAGAAGACCAACAGCATCCTGGCTTGCATAAGAAACAGTGTGGCCAGCAGGTCTATGGAAGTGATTGTTCCCTTGTACTTGGCTCTGGTAAGGCCACACCTTGAGTACTGTGTTCAGTTTTGGGCCCCTCACTACAAGGACATTGAGGTGCTCGAGAGAGTCCAGAGAAGGGCAATAAAGCTGTTGAGGAGCAGCTGAGGGAGATGGGATTGTTCAGCCTGGAAAAGAGAAGGCTCAGGGGCGAGCTTATCACACTCCACAGGTACCTTAAAGGAGGCTATAGCAAGGTAGGGGTTGGTCTGTTCTCCCACGTACCTGGTGACAGGATGACGGGGGAATGGGCTAAAGTTACGCCAGGGGAGGTTTATGGTGGATATTAGGAAGAACTTTACTGAAAGGGTTGTTAGGCATTGGAATACATGTAGGCTGCCCAGGGAAGTGGCGGAGTCACCATTCCTGGAGGTCTTTAAAAGACGTTTAGATGTAGTTTTTAGTGATATGGTTTAGTGGAGGACTGGTTAGTGTTAGGTCAGAGGTTGGACTAGGTGATCCTGGAGGTCTCTTCCAACCTAGATGATTCTGTGATTCATGTTTTCACTGAAACCTAACAAAGAATTCCACTCCTATCATTAGAATTCATCTACTTAGTGATCAAACACTTGTTAATTTTTCTTGAAATATTCTTTCAGTCATGAACAAGGTTTGTTTCTATGTAAAATCCTTGTAGATTATCTTTTAAAAGAACAAAAACAGAAATATTTTGTTTACTTCATTATTTTAAGAAAATTATCTGTGAATAATTTCTATTAAAATGTTAAAGTAATTGAAGTCCTTAATATTTATACAACTTCTGAAAACACAAAGATAGCTGATTTCTAGATATTACTACCATTGAAAAAGTAATTAAATTATTTTTTTTCTCCCTACTAGGTATTTCAAAAGTAATCAGTCATTCAGAGCAGATATTTTTTTCCATTTTTATGCAAGACACCATGTATATTCCAGTTTCAGATGTTGGTCTTGAAAAGTTGTCTAATTAAAAGTTGTCTCTATATCTGAGTGTCCTATTGAATGGCTTAGATAATTTAAAAGACATTGAAGTATCTTTTAAAATCCATTGCTGAGCAATGTGAATTGAGAAAATTCCTGACTTGTGTAATGTTTATAATATGACTCTTGGAAAATACATCTAATGTATATATGCTAAGCCCCTCACTTTCAACTAGTCTATATTCAGGAACAAAAATACATTGATATGTAACAAAACCTTACAAAATGCAGAAAAACTCATCTGGCATTCCCTAAGCCCATTGGCAAGTGCCACTGAATTTGAAATCAGGCACAGAAAAAGACAGACTCATGAAGCCTACATTTTTAGAGCTGTAGCAGTCGATTTATTCTGCACCTAGGTCTACATAAATAGCAAAGACAGATGCATAATGCTAGTGCCAGTTTTACAAAACATTATCCCAGTCAGCAAGATGCTGCAATAAATAAGTTAATCACTATTAATGTCTTTGATATTCATAACAACATTAATCAAGATGAATTATTGTGGAGTTAATGTGAATACAATATGAATTACCAATGGTATTTATTTGTAATGCAGCTTTTGATGACAGCTTCGGCCTCTTTCACTCTATATGGAGTTGGAACAGGATGATCTTTAAAGGTCCTTTCCAAATCATTGTGTGGTTCCATGATTATTCCACACAGACTGTGGACTTTCATGCTAGTGTTGATACTGATAGACAATTTTTTCCCCTCAGATTTCTATGCTTGCAGATGTCTGTCAGAACAATGGGCAACCCAATTTATTTCTCCTTTCAGTTTTTTTCCCCAACTAGAAAGACTTGTAAAAAGATTGTCCCGACTAACTAGTGATAAACAGTCACATTTCCAGATTGACTTTTCCTGTAGAAAAACAGTATTTTATGTTTTCCAGTCTCAAATACAATGAGATAAATAAAGCTTCTCATACATAATTCAGAAATCAAGGAAAAACAAACTCCTTCACATGAACTGATAGATGTCTATAAATTTGGAATACAAATTCTTGAATTTCAATAGTAATTTATAACAAATGTAAACCACCAGTATAACTTTGTGTCGTTAACTCATCATAACAATATGACTTCTTTCAGAACTACGATACACATTAGAGAGTAACCAATGGTCTTAAGTCCTATCTATATGTAAAATCACAGTTATTGACTCTAGTACGAGGAAAAAAAAGGATTGAAAACTACATTAACAAACAAAATTCAAAGCCTACAAGGTTTAAGTTCTGGTTCAATAGTTTCTTTCACCGTGTAAACATCCTTTGAGTCTTTGGGACAATGTTCTCTGTATTTCATCAATGAAAACATCAGGTTTAATAAAAGCTTCCAGTACTTTTTTTTTTTTTTTTAATTTGTAATTAAGCAAGACCCTGCCATGGTGAGATTCAGTGATAGGATTCCAACTCTCACTCAATAAGTATAATTTTAGCATCAGACACCAGATGGAAATGCATTAAAAATGTGTATAACTTCCATGTACATATGTCTGTATGTATATAAATGCTGTGTATAGATACACGTGTTGTAATTCTCTAATTGGACACCAGATGGTAACGCATACTAGAGTAGAATTACTAGCCTTCTAAGGTCAGAACCATTGCTATGGAGGTGAAAACTCACTTGCATAGCATGACAAAATGCAAATGTACGATGAAGTTTTCCATTGAAAGAAGGTGGAGGAAGAAGGTTCATGTGTCTATTTTGAAGTGTCTAGGTGCATTTTAAAGTTAGTCACTTTTGTGCATTTAATTTAGTTCCAACATGTTTTCTTAGCATGCCTTTCAGTTCAAATATGTGAGGAACAGTTCTGCTGTAACTGCAGTATTGTGGCATATGGAAGTACTTGAATGGTAAATATGAAGTACTTTCCTAACTTCCACAATTTGTTCCACTGAAGCCAAAATCTCCAGTTCAAATGATTCCAAAGAAACAAAAAGTAATTGTGACACCGCAAATACATTTTTACTAACAAATGTAATATAAACTTTAAGTTACAGGTTTGCTAACAAAGACTGTAGGCTATATCTGTAAAACATATAGTTCCTAGTTTTCTGGTCTTCCTCCAAAATAAGTTAAAAGTTTAGAAATTTTTTTAAAAAATAATCCTTTGTATTAGGTTCTAAATGAACGAACGAGCAATTAAAAGATTCAGGTGTCCCTAATCAATCATCTTTCTTGAAGTAATTAAAATTATTTTAATTTATGTCAAGTAATTGCCAGGTGGGAATATGGGAATATCAGGCTTCATTAATGGTACAAGTAAATCCATAGAATGAAAAAGATATATTCACATCTTCTAGAACTCACACTTTTTCCATGACAAGATTATTCTCTTTACCTATTTGTTTTAGTTAGCTGATGAGTACAATAAAATCAATAACAAAAATGGAAACCAGGTAAAGATACCTCAGGAGAAAACTTTTGGTACATCAAATCTGAAAAAAAAAAAAAAAAAAAAAAAAGCAAATGCCACCACTTTTGTGCTGTAACATTTTACTCAATTTGCTTTGCAGTTGTGCAAAAAGATAGAGGCCATGACTTCAGGCACCAACAAAAAAATGCATGTTTAAGAAGCACACAGAAGTCCAACAGGATCAAAACAGTAGGTCATAAAAGGTACATGAGAATGTTGCATTTCTGAAGAAAACATTTTATTTACTTATTTAATTGAAGTTCAAATAATTACACAGTTTACATGAAATTCAGCCTATTTCATTTTACTTTTTACTTTATTTCCACCCTTTGTTTTGTCACCTGCACTATTCCAATTCTTAGAACCCATCTACAATTGCATGCTGAAATTGTCAATAAAAATACATTGAAGAATACCAATAACTCACACGTACCACAGCAGAAAAAATTCAACATTCACAGAAACATCTGTTTGATATTCAGCATATTCCTTGTATATTCCAGGTATTCAGAACTCATAGTTTGGTACAACTAAAGGTATTTCATTTGACACAGCTATATGAATTGATTTACTGAGTTCCACATTATAATAGCGAAATCAAAATTTTACACATCCATAAAGGTGCTACTGAAAGCGTATTAAAATGCCCAGAGAGTACTGAATGAAAATTTACTAGACATTTTAGCATAAGATATTATGAATGAGAATGCTATGAATTCATAAGCTAAAGGGAATCCTCAAGTTTTTAAACCAGCCCCCAAAAAAGTTAAAAATCTTTCCAGTAATAAAAGTATATTTTTTTCTCTTTATACAGTTGACACAAGAACCATTGTTTACTTATAAAAAGAACTGACTAATTTGCTGAGGAGTGTGAAGAAAATCATGACAGAGTTTGAAGCATTATGAGAATCCCCTTGAAAAGTACCATTTTAAAATGGAGCAGTTCTACAGAGGTTTTTATAGATTTTCACTTTATCTTATAGTTTGAGCAAGTTGATACTTGGAAAGTTGCTACTATTACATGTAACACATATTAGTGGTACCTTTATAAAATTCAACTATCTTACTTCATGTTGCGCTTACATCTGCTTTCTTTTGATCTACTTTTACTTATTTGTTGAATAGTGATTGATGACATATAAAATTTGTATTATTAACTATCAATGAACTATAGGACATAACTATGCTGTTTGGAAATGTCTAGAAAAAGGAAACTGCAAAACCTAGTGAGTGCCACTTGTGATACAGACCAAGAAGTATGAAGCATTATGAAGAAATTGCATAGAGTTTTGTCATATAGCTTCTACTAAAAATGTTAAACTTCCAGTAATGTTTCCCTATCATACACGTCTATACTCCACATAGAGCATGTTCTCTTGGTCCTTCTGAATTTCTTCTTTCAAGTTTTAAGACTGCTTCTAAAAAAGACAACCACCGACAGTTTTCAGTTAGTACCCATGTATTTGTTTCTTGAATAAACACATCTCGCGCTTACTAAAGAAACCTTTGCTAGGTAATCAGATGAGTTTACACAAAATGAGAAAAAAAAAAAAAAAAAAGTGGGTGCAATTGTATACATTTAAAGCAGAGGTTCAACAACAGACTGCTTATATAGCCAACTTTGTTTCTTTTTCCAAGTTATTCTGTATCTCCTACATTGATTAGAGGCACAATTCAAAGAATGGACCTCTATTTTTGTCTGGTTAGAAATGTTTATAAAGCTGAGAAATTGTTCACAACACTTTTGAAATGAAAGGTTCCATAAAAATCCTTAATTGTCACATTATAATCGTTGAGTATGGCATGTTTTTGAAAATATTCTTTAATTTTAGGTTTGCAATGCAAAGCAAAAACAAATAAAACAAAACAAAACAAACAAACACAAAATAGATCTAAATATCGTGTTCCTTAATATACAACTCACATTGCTAAATTGTCCTTAGCTAGGGATCATTAGGTGGTTTTATGTACAGAGAAAATAAAATTTTTCAGCAGAAATAGAGTGATGCAGTCATTATTTTGGTCTGCTGGTTTCTAGACTTCATTTTTCACCTTATAAGAAACATCGGGTACAACATAACTTCAGTAGAGTAAGAAAGGGCATCCCCTCAGGTTCTGCAATTTTGATGATCCAAGGTTTCTAGTGAGCTGGCAATTGACATTGATTAGCATTAAAAGGCAGTGAAAATGCACAAACTGTGCTGAAGCTTTCATTGTTAAGCATCATCTGCAACTGCAGTGTTTATTGGGGCAGAATTTGTGCTTCACTGAAAGTTAGATATTAATTTCAGAAACCACGTCTGTTACATCTTGTTCTTTCAGTTAAGGGACCACTTGGGAAAGAACAAACCTTTTTCTTTCTCATTTTAGAGTTGTGTTTAAGAAGCACACTGGAATCACCAACTTGTATTTAGCTTCCAGAAACGTCAGGTTACAAATTTGCCAGCAGACAGTATTTCTGTCTTACATGATGTTAAGTTGCTGCCAACTGAGTGCCTTTTCATTCTCCATCATTCAGCCATATGTCTTCATTAGACTAGCCCATATCTACTGTTGCACTGTCCACTGACCCTGGCTCCTTGATAAATTGGTGGAAAGTATTTCTGGAGATCAGACTTACTTTTTATAATTTGAAATTATCCAGCTTCATCAGCCCACCATTAGAGTATAGAACCACCAGGTCTACTTCCCAATACTGCTCTGCCACCAGCAGCTCATTCTGTCAGTAATACAGTGTGGTAATTTCTTCTTGATCAAGTGGTTATTCAGGACCAAATTCCAGCCCAGACAACAAGAATTAAAGGAGAGCATAGATGGCAATTTTTCAAAGTGACAGGACTCCAGATGCCATAAAGTTCCCATGCTCCAAAGCTGGAAACTAAAACAAGAGTAACCCAGAATAGGTAATAGGGTCAGGGAAAAGAAAGCCTTAGCATATCCACAGAAATATCAATATATTGGTTATATAATATGGGGCAAGTGTCAATCTGATAGAGAGTAGGAAGGCCCTGCAGAGAGACCTGTACAGGATGGGTCAACGGGTAGAGGTCAATGGGATGAGGTTCAATACGGTTGAGTGCCGGGTCCTGCACTTTGGCCACAACAAACCCATGTAATGCTACAGGCATTACATTTCAGGCAGAGTGGCCTGAAAACTGTGCAGAGGAAAGGGATCTGGGGGCGCTGACTGATGCTTGCTTGAACATGAGCTGGCAGTGTGCCCTGGTGACCAAGAAGGCCAATGGCATACTGGCTTGTATCAGGAACAGTATAGCCAGCAGGTGATTGTCCTCCTGTACTCTGCTCTGGTGAGGCCATACCTTGAGTACCGGCTTCAGTTTTGAACCCCTCAAAAGATAGCAAGGCCCTGGAATGCATCCAGAAAAGGGTTACGAAGCTAGTGAAGGGTATGAAACACAAGTCCTGTGAGGATCAGCTGAGAGAAGAACTGAGGTTGTTTAGTCTGGAGAAGAGAAGGGGGCAACCTTATTGCTCTCTACAACTACCTGAAAGGAAGGTGTGGGGGATCTGGGAGTTGGCCTCTTCTCACAGATAACTAGTGATAAGACTAGAGGGAATGGCCTCAAGATGCACAAGGAGGAGGTTTAGGTTAGAAATTAAGAGACGTTTCATCTCAGAAAGAGTAGTCAAGCATTGGAACAGGTCACTCAAGGGAGTAGTGGAGTCACCATCCCTGGGGGTGTTTAAGGAAAGGTTGGACATGGTGGTTTGGAACATTCCTTTTTTAAAATGTATTATTTGTCAATAATGGAATTAACTCATTTTAGAAAATAACTCTTGCTGCAAGCTGTTACCACATTAAATTTGCATGTTAAGTTATAGAACTATGTTTTCCTAGTTTATTGGAATACCCAAATAAGGAGAAATACATCTCCCTTTATCCCACAGAAACTTACTTTTAAAATACCTCCAGTGAAGGCAATTTCACTGGTAATGCATGTTAATTTTCAAGGCTTTATCACTGTTATATATGTAATAGATTATTACCTCCACCTGAACAGTGTAGCAAATGATAAGTAGTATGGTCTAGCACAGGAAACAAAATGCACTAAATAAATTAAAAAAATACTACAGAGAAGATATGCTTGTTTATCAACAGAAGCATGAGCTAGCCAAAGTATCAACAATAGCAGAAAAATGTAACATGCTTTATTTTTGTCTTCCAGTTTTTTCCCCTCATGTTGATCTCTTTCACTACTGCATTGAATAATGCAGTATACTACAAAACACGTAGAAGAGTTCTGACTCATTTGGCCCTAAAGTATTTTGTCTGACATTGGTTATCTGTTTGTTTTTCTTTGTTTGTACAAGCACAGAAGATGTTCAGGCTCAGTCACAGATAACTTCTTTAGAATTGTTTAAAAATAACAGAATAACAGTACAGTAAATTCCACTCCTTGTTCAATACCTACTTTTTTTTTTTTTTGTCTGCAGCCTAGTGATTCAGAAGTAGGACATTTAATGACTTTACTTACAATTAGGATACCAGTGTAAGACATGCACAGATCAAAATTGTGTATCAACAGACTTAAAAAAAAAAAAAGTCAATGAAGCATCAAGACCTCCTATGTAGTATCCACAGTATCTCTCTGAATGGAGAGAAAAGTAATTTATTTTAGTGATTTTGGCCCTTAAAAAGTACAGCCAGACACTTAACTAAATTGAAGGAACTTCATTCAGAAATTCTCCCTAGAATAAAAAGCATTAATGTTATTATTTTGTTATTAACGGACCTGACCCGCTTCATATTTTAGACATTTCAGTAGTGTTTCATCGAAAAGATTCAAAACATTTTGCTATTTATGCTAGCGACTAGCACTGTTTGTGCCTCCCAGCTGTAGTTTCCATTCTGAGAACTCAGCCATTCACTCCAAAACCAATCAAAAAGCACCATCTCTGTGATCACCTCACTTACTTCCTTGGAATGCAATGCAGGTCATCATGCATACCGATTAGATGGCAATTTGGGGTTTTCATCTCAACTGAGTCCCACAGGAGTATAATCAGTGGCACTCAAAACACCTCTATACACAGAACTGAGTCCTCTCATGGCAATTAAGCAGAAATGGTTAGTTTCTTACTCCAAGAGGCTAAGACTTTAGGTAATACACAGAGTCTGGGGGCTTATGACAAATACCTATCCACATAGGTATTTATAGGCACCTAAGGAACTTACCTAGAACACAACTAGACATACATAAAGAAAGTATTTTGTGGAACACCTTGAAATTTAAGTCCCAGAGGCCAACAGCCATTATTCCTATAATCCATTTCTGTACTTAGCCAAACAGGCAAGCTCTCTGTAGGCTTAGTCAAGACTTACATATTTAGATCCTGAGGTGGATTAATTCCTATTAAGATTCTATTACATGTTACATTTATGCAGTATTTTAATTGTAAATGAATTAGAGAAAAGGTTCATCATATTTTTCCAAAAGTTTCAAACTGTAAAAGTATATCTAAACCAATTTTAGTATATTGATAAACTTTAAAACTTAATTCTGAAAAGTAATTAAACACTGACTTGTATTAGCAGTTACTTTTCAACTATAACTTTCTTTCACTAGAATTTTCATATCAGACCTTCTAACAAGATGCAGTGTCTTTGGAGTTGCAGGGGTGTGTGTGGAGGGGTTAATAATAAAAAAATGGGAGCAGGAAGCCCTGCCTTTAGTACATTCATAAGGCACCATCAAACAATTCAAAGATAAGCCACATTTTCTGTTTGATAAGTTAATGCTTATTTTATTATTTCCTGTCTATAGCTGTTGACAATTCTGATTAGAATACATGTCACTTACAACAGAGGAGTAAGTATCCAAAATACATATATACACACACACACACATACATGACTGCTAATCTGAAAATATAGAGAAGTGCTACCCTGGAAGTATCTGAAAAAGAAAGGTGGGCTTTTTATTATTTAAAACAAACAAACAAAAAACTTCAATCTTTGAAGTGGTTAAGATGACACTAGAATTTAGGATCACAATTTACACACTCTGGGTCACTGAATGATACCACTGTTTGTGTTTTTTTTTCTTTTCTTTTTTTTTTTTAAGACTGATTTACCAGTAGAGACCAAAATTTAAGACTAAAAATCTAAACAGACTCTCCTTAGCGAGATGATCTCTTTTCTTAATGTGAATCATTAATTTATTTAAATGATTTATAGCAAAATTGTATACAACATTTGAGAATAAATTATAGAAGAGTGAAGAAAAAAGTCTACTATGTGCTTTTATTTTATTCAACAGATTTGTTCCCTCATGCACAGCAGTGCACTGAACACCCATATTCCAGCAACAACTTTTCTTAACTTTTCTGAATTGCAGAAGCCAAGGATAAGGTTTCTCAAAAAATTGACTCTATTACAAAATCATTGAGTCTTATTTTCTTTCTGAAACAACAAAAAAAGAAGAAAAAAAGTAGTTTCAAAAACTTTTGATGAAAAAAAAAATAATAATTTCCTCCTTTTCTAGATATAGTAGTGTCTTAGTATTCAACAGCCTGCATGCATATGTATTTCTTTCCTAGAAGACAAATGCATTTTTCCCTCTTCGAGAATCAGCTAAGGTTTGTGTAAGAAACCAACAGAAAGTACCTGCAAGTTGATCTCCCGTCTTGAATTCAAAAGAGCAGTGGAACCACAGAAATATTAAGAGTAGAGTATGTTTTCCTATATACAAAGTAAATTGATATTAAAAAAAAAAAAAGTCAGAAAGATCTTCTAGGGTGATGACTGAAGTGAACAATATTTTATTCAGTGAAATAAAACTCAGTCTCTTCTGAGGTAATGTGGCTGTATTTTTCATTAATGACAATTGCACAAAAGGAAGAAGTACTAATGAAATAAACTGGGAAAGCACCATCAATGCAGAAAACGCTTATCCTTGAGGTGATTTGCTGACTACACTACATAAGAAAAGGGTAAAAGTACTATGATATTGCATACCAAGCCCAGCACTTGGATATCAGTAAATGACTGGCTGTCAGAAATTACTGGGAAGGTAATTGCAATTATAGGATGTATCACACGTTGTCTAGTAAGATACTTCCACCAGATATTTCCACCAGATATATTTAATAATTACATTGTACAGGGCATTGGTAGGACTAGGTGATCTTGGAGGTCTCTTCCAATCTAGATGATTTTGTGATATTTAACATAACAATGCATTCAGCTTCCTTGAATATACACACACACCTAAAAATTGAGAAAATGCTTAGAAAGGTTGCATAGTATATGTCTTAGAGTTACTCATTCAAGACCTTTCTCATTTTATATTAACCTCGCAAAACAGGCTGAGGAGAAATAGAGCTTTCTTAAATAAAGGTCTGGGTGCAAAAGAAAAAAGAATTCTTCCTTACTTGAGATAACAGTACAAAAGTTCTTTACCATAAATTCTATATAAACACAGTTGTCTAGTAATCTAGTCATTGCAATATATATGAAAAAGTGATATGACTTCTTTAGAACCATTCTGTGAGTTAGATACTCACTTTACATTGAGAAACCAACTGAAAAGGCGACACATGTATCTATTTTGCAGAACTTGAATTCAAGGTCATTTCCTTCTAGAGAAGAGAAATTTTACCATAGTTATTTTAATGTATAATCCTCAGTGGTTTTGTTTTAGTAAATAATATGCAGAAGAGCCTACAATAACAGTTTAGTAATATCTGTTAATTTACGAAGATAAGTGGATGGAAGGAACCCCTTGGATCCCCATCTTTGGATACCTATATGTTTGTTACTTTGCTAACAAAGGTTGAGTTTGAGAAGTAAAAAGAAAGCCTAGTAGTTCTTATAGTTGTCTCTAACAAGAGGCACACTTTATATGGATCCAACCACTCTCTTACTACTTTTCCCCACTGTGTAGCTTCACTACAAGCCTTTTAATTACTTCATACCTAAGAATTCATCAGATGGTTGTAGTAAATTGTGATACAGAAGTGAAAATATTTAACTATTACAGGTGGCAAAACTAACGATTTGCTATTGAATGTAACTGATCTCTAGTATTCTCATAGTATACACACATGTATATTTTGAACAGTCTGGTCTCTTCAAATTTTGAGTCACCTCTGGTAGTTATAATTAAAGGTTGCTGGTAACCACTGTCTACTTGAACTAGAAATTTTTTAAAAACAAACAAACAACAGAAAAATGCTGGAACTTATATATACCTGAGTAGAAATGGGGCCATTAACAAATCAATCCAAGTTTAGCTTTGACAAGCTAACTCATCTGCCCAGAAATAGCAATCAGAACTCAGACAACAGGCAATACATTGAACCTTTTTTCCATTCTATAGTGTTACTTATTGTAATCACAGTTACTTTATGACATAAACACATCTCATTCTCATGTACTCTATCATTACTTCACTACATTTACTGCAGCCTTTCAAACTCAGGCCTGCCTTTATACAGTACAAGATATACAATATTTGATACTGAATAGCTGAACTAGAGCAAGTAATGATCAAGTTTCTATATTTTACTAACACAAGCTGCTTAGATATATTCATACTTAAACATGTACTGCCACCTGTGGTCCAGGCAACAGCTTTAATCTTACTGACATTTTGTAGAGGCAGTAATGCTACTCTTTTGCTATGGATTAGAAGAAAAAGTATTTTTTAAAAAATGGAGTATTAAAACAAATGTAACTCACATTTTATTTGATACTACAACGTCTTGATAGAAAGCAGATCCTTGATTCTTAAAAAAGCAAATAACCAACAACTCTGATGAATTTTTCTCTTTTGGAGACAGAACTTTAAGTAATCAAGGACTAGTTTTTTCTCACACAGCCTTGTTGGAGAAACACTTTTGTAAAGAAATATTCATTTGTTTCTGTCACTCTTCTTTCACCACCCTTCATGCTTAGTTTTCAAAGAAACCTTTGAGTAGAAATGGTTTTGTTAAGTGATGTGATGCAACCTGGTGCTGCTCATCATTAGTGCAAAGTCTTAATTTGTTTAGACTTGCATACTTGAATCCAAATTGAAAGCAAGCAGCTCCAAGAAAATACTATAGCAAAATAGATGAATAGAACAAAAAAAAAGTAGAGACTTCCTGAATGTTCCTGCAAACTACCAGACCCTCACTTGTCTATCTTCTACCAAAACTTAAGCCAGCACCATAGTAAACCTGAATTTTGCTTAAACAGATATGAAGCCTTTATCACTTCCATGTTTATTCAAACTCACAGTACCTGCAAAGCTGCCAGAGTCCTGCTTGTCTCTCCCCTTGCCACCCTGCCACCCCCCAAAGCTCCACAATGTCTTCCTCTACCCCTTTAGAGACCATATAGCTTGTGCTACAATCTAACAGTAATATGGTGCAGCTGTGAGACCTTCAGATGCTTGTATTAGAAGATATATTGGGGGGACTTGTCCACATCATCCAGCTCCCATTCCATTTGAACATACCTGCATTTAATTCAGGCATTTGCCCTTTATTCTTATCTGACCTGTTGCAACTGTGTCTATTCTCAGCCTTGTACCTGATCTCAGATCAATTTTTTTTACTGCAGACTTTCATGCTGGTCACTGAAATGCTGGCCATGACTGGTTAACATCCCCAAAGATGCCCTTCCCTTGTCAGGTTCTCTGCAACTGCATCCCTCAGCAGGTAGGGCATTGTCTCACTGCCCGGCTGTCATCCTTGGCTGCCAGCTCACCTTGTCCCTGGCAATTACCTCTAGTCTCGTCATTTTCTATGACAAAAAGGAGACTTGCTGAGAGCTGCAATGTGAAACTACAAAAAATACATTTTGGTGGCTCAGGTTTTTCAAAAACTCAGTATAAAATACTGAGTTTTGTAGTTAAAATCCAAGGTACTACAGATGGTAGCCATAATTGGGACTTAAAGCCAACAACTGTCTACCCCTTGAAAGTGAAACAGTCACATTTATGAGTTCTAGGCCAAGAAAATTCTAATGTGTCTAACTGCTTTAGGAAATGAATTACCAACATTTGCATAGGAACATAAATACCTACATGCCTTAGGTAGACATTTGGCTATGTCTTAAGCCTCATCTGATTTTAATGAAAATGAGGTTTTGAATATGGACCATGAAAAACTAACTTGTTTAAACACACAAATTAGCTGCCCCTAATCTAGAACACCACATACAAGCTCCTATTTTCCATCCTCAAAAAAGATTTCTGAACTTATTACAGTCTCTGTAAATATGCTCTGAGTAGGCCTTCTTTGTCAGTGGCTGAGCTAAAAAGGATAAGTAGCACTAGATGGCAAAAGTCAAGGTCTCTCAGCTACAACAGTTCCTGCACTTAAAAAGGACCTTGAGTAAAGTCTTGCAACATTACAGAAGTTTTTAAAACAGAAAATGACCACCCTTGAGCATCTTGAGTTATTACATTGCAAAATATTCTCATGCATGTGTATGAAAACAAATTCCCCAAAGGAAAACTTTAAATCCAAAAATAAACTCATTAGAACCTTTTATTTGTGAGTGGCAAACATTCAGTTCAGGGTCATTTCAGGCTAGGTAAACATCAAGAACAGCTGCTGACGGTACCTGAATAACTCAAAGCTCAAGACCTGTAAAACCTCTTGAGAGATTTTTAAGGTCAGATTTTATTCTGTTAATGTAACTCCTCTTTGGGAAGATTTAGAAGTTGATGAAAATAATAAATAAATAAATAAATATTTATTTATATATACTTTATATATATGAATGTGTGTATATATATTTATATATATATATAAAGTATCTAGTGTATATATATGTACATATATATACATACATATACACACGCATACATACTTTAAACCAAGAAAGGTGTCAGAGCTTATTAGAAGTTTTCTCTATTTCTCATTCTGCCGTCCCAACAAGTGGGCTGGGCAAAAGGTTCACAGGTGACACTGCTGGGACAATTGACAATAATTGACCTAAAGAATATTCCATGAATAGAAGACTGTGCTCAGCAATAAAACTGGGGGATGATCTTTCTACAGCGGCTATTGTTCAGAAGCTGGCTAAGCATCAGTCTGCTTGGAGGAGATTGTAAGTGATTGCCTTTGCATCACTTGCTTTTTTCCTCTTTCTTTCGCTTACTAAACTATCTCTATCTTGACCCATAATTGTTTTCATGCTTTTGCTCTTCTGATTTTCTCCCTGACCCCTTTGAGGGGCAGGAGGGTTTGTGGAGGTCAGGAAGTGTGTGTTGCTGGTAGGAACTTTGTTGCTGGCCCACCACAATGACAAAACCAGAAATTCTGCTCATGGGTTCTTTCCAGATCGCCTCTGCTTAAATTGAAGTATATACCATGAGGAGTCTTGCTGTATGGAGTCTCTGGATGCAAATGAAAATATGTGTACGTTTTTGTACAGCTGTAAAAAAATTAAATAAAAAAAAAAAATGTTGCTCTCCCTTGCCATGTTGTGGAACTACACTGACTGCCCCAGGCCTTAACAGGCTACATTTTTTTTCCCCAGTAAATAAAATCCTTTGAGCATACATATACATAGGATAAAACAAAGGTTATGCTTGAAGTTTAAATGTCAAAAGGAGACCCTGAGAGTGCTGTCTGCATATCCCAGTTCTGGCACAAAGGTTAACTTACAGTCTCAAGTGTCATTCTGAGCAAGGCTGTTGATAAAACTCTTTCCTTCAGCACATATAAGAAATAATAATACTTATTTCTGTGCTTCTCAAATAAATCTTTTTAGACTCTAGACCCTCTTGCCATGTTCATGTTTTAATATTTTATCTACTATTATAACACTTCTCACTCTAAATGGAGGAAGGGAGATGGAGAGGAGTATAGTTCTTGGATGAAGAAGCTCTCCCAGCAGATTACAGGTATCTTGCTTATGTATGAGGAACGAGCTTTTGGTCATTACAGAGTTCTCAGTTCATAGTTTGCTCTGAATTCAGACAGAATGTTATCATCTCATTGTGGCAAAATACTGACTTTGTGTAAAAATTGAAGATTGATGAATATGGATTTTAAAATTGGTTGGGAACTAGATAACACTAATTTCTCGGTGCTGTAGAATCTGGAAACCAAGAGCAGCTGATCAATGTTATCTTCCAAGTGTGAGAGATATAGAAATGCAATGGTTTTCTCAAAAATGTTTATCTGTATTAAAATGATTTTCTCTGCACAATCTGCAATGGTTAGTCCCAAAACAGAGCTTACATTTGTACTCTTTCACAGAGAATAATGCTACATAGAGACTGAATTAAAACAATACAGTCTTTGACAGAATCTGTGATTAAAAGCAAAACTCGAGCAGAAAGGCAGAAAGGTTTGCAGGCAACATATTAAACGAAGAGTCTAACAGGAATGCCTGCATGGATAAAGTATGTCTAACATAGTATTCAGACCTATTTTTCTGAAAGGTCTGTTTTCCTAAATAATAATCGAACGCTAGTCTACATTTTTAAGATTGAGGTTAAGACTAAGTGAATGATTATAATAGACATATACAAATAACAATCTCTCCTTTTGGTGAAAACTGTAGCTTATTCTACTTCTCTGGTACATTCAAAACTTATTTATTCCAAAGAATACTGCATTAAAAAAGATTTAATGGGCCATGTGAACATAAAAGTAAAGTATTCCTTTATAATTCATTTGGGCATTCTTAGAAGAAAATCTTTCCACGCTCTGTGGGTAGTTTATAGGTCTAGAAGGCCTATGTAAATGTTTTTGTGGATTTCTATGCTATTCAAGGCAGCTCATTTCATTAGCAAGGGGATCCTGGACCCTTTTTGGTGCCATATAAAGCTTATTTTCTTTACTTTAAAGTATTCATATACATAATGTAAACATAGAACTTCAGATCTTTGGTGAGCATGCAAGAAAAAATAAATGAACATACACTTCCCTTGAAATCTAGTAACCTGAATCTGATTAGGTATGCTAGTTCTTCCCCCACTAACGTCCCCATCCAATGCTTTGATGTCAGCTTATTTGGCTAGTCAGAGACATATATGCTGGTAGCTTTTAGATAAAAGAAACTCAAATGTGCAAACTTCTCTAAACACTAGTATTTTTTCTTGCCAAAGCTGCCTTCTGTTCCTGCTATACCAGAATGTTCAGAGAATGCTGGCAACACAGCAGTTTGTGGCAGTTTGTATTTTACATAAATCAGCTGCTGTTGAGACACAGAAAAATCACAATGCTTTTAAATTTGATACCTGAACCAGGTTGAAATCTGGAGTACAGGACTGAGAAAAACTCATTAAAAATTGTTAAATTATAGCAACATTGGTATTCCTTGATTTAAAAAGTATAGTTAATTTTGTTTTTATTGTTGTTTGTTTGTTTTTCTATCATCAAAAGCATGCTAGTACAAGTCCAGCTTTAGGAGCTGCTCCTCAACGTGAGTGTACAGATCCTGTTAAGCAATATTTGTTTGTCTAGTGATATATTCTTCAGTTCACTTTTAACTCTCTCATAAACTTTACTGATGAGACTTAACAGGAGATAAGTTTGAGGATTTTGTGTTTTGGAATACGCATAGATACACTGAGTTGTGAAGTATTCAAACTATTCTAGTTTGTTTTTTAAGAAAACTAGACACAGTCTCTAAGCTCCCGATTTTAGTGTTCTAATTTAATGTAGTCTGATCCAAAGTCTCCCTAGATTTTTGCAGATTATAAAAAAAATTGTCCCATAGAACTTCTCCAAAATCAGAAAAAAAAAAACATCATACCTGTGCTTACATCTGCATTAGAACATTGTTCTCCTGTTTCTCTGTAATCATCAGTCAATAATTCCACGTTCTCTTGTGCTGAAAAGCACCTCTGAGAGTCCACATAACTCTGAGAAGTGAATGCATTGATTAAGACCTTGGAATCTGAAGCTTCTTATTTCTGAGGGCAATAGTGGTTATAGCCATCAAGCACCTGAGGCCAGCAGGACTGTAAGAAGGCCTCAGAGCTGGCCACACAGAAACATTCAAAAGCATGCTTAGTTCTGTAGAGTTAGTGATAGCAATTCACTACTAGGTACTAGTAGTTCTCCTACTACTAGGTTTAAAATTTTTCTAACACCAAGAAATACAGACAGTGCTTCTCATTTTTTGGTGCAGGCTTCTGTATTTACATGCAAGTACTGCATCTGAAAGCTATGAGCAAAGTAAGTTAGCATTTATCACTAGGAACATCTCAACTGTTTGAAGTGTTTCTTACAATTATGCCTGGAATGCTTCTCACTGCTATTATAATGGTAATAAATCTTGTAATGCATTTCCTATCTCATGTCTGTTGCTCAACTTGTATGTGACCTT